ACACACACACACACACACACACACACACACACACACACACACACACACACACACACACACACACACCTGTCAGCAGAGTGTAAATATAAACATCAGTGACCTCATGACCTAATTACCCACAGTTTAAAATTTAAGGCTTGAAAATAAAAACAAATAATTCAATAGTGATGAAACTGGTCATAGATAATAGATTTGTTGTTAAACCTCCTGGTGAAAGAATTTATTAATAATGTTTGTTTTCTTTAACCAGCAGAAAAACATTGAGAATCTTTGACTAAAATAAAAACTTAAAGATTTAAACTAAAAGCAACTAGTCTCATAACAAACTCAAAATAATAAGAGAACCTGGACCATGATGATGATGATGATGGTGGTGGTGATGATGATGATTTTGATAATCTTTCCTCTGGATCTTTGCAGCCAACTCAGGCTCCCTGCAGGGTCCCAACACCCCTCAGTCCAGCAGCAGCTCGCTCACCGAAGCCCCCGTAGACCTGAAGCCCCCGACCCCGGCCCCAGCACCACTCAGCCAGACGACCCCCCAGACAGGAAGCAGGTCAGAACTCAGAGGATTTATTCCTGTATTTCAAATGAACCGTTCTCATCAGATGTTTTTATAGTTTATCTGATTAAAGAGATAAATCATTAAAATAATTAAAACTAGAGAAATTGCATTTCCTGCGAAAATGCTAGTGTGAATGCCTGTAGCTGAAAACTTTAGCTGAAAGCTGCTGAAGAAGCTGAAATTGAGCTGAATGCATTGTTAAACATGAAAAGCTGAACGAAGCAAAAAAGGCAGAAAAACAGTTAAAAGGAGCAAAAATATGGCTGAATTAGCATAAAAAGCTAAAGGCTAAAATAGCTGAACACAGCAGAATGCAAAAGAAGCCTAAACAGCATAAATTAGCAGAAAAATGTATAACAAAGCAGAAAAACACAGAAGAATTGCAGAAATAAGTAAAATTTTAGCTGGTATAGCAGCAAAAAGCTAAAGTTAGCATGAATAAGCTAAAGGTAGCAGACTCATGTTGAAAGTTGCACACAGATGGTGAAATGGATGTAACAAATTCAAAATTAACAGAAAAAATCATTAAACTAAAAAGTGATCATTTGAAGTAAAACAGGTAAAACAGCCGACGTTTTTAGTAAAACAGCTAAAAGGTAGCTGGAAACATTTTAATTAGCATAAGGATGCATAAGGAGCACAGGTTTGCTGAATTTAGCAGAATTCAGTTGAAAAAGCTCCGCAAAAATGTGTAATTAGCATAGAAAGCTAAATGTGGCTAATAACGGCTAAAATGTAGCTAAATTTGTAGCAAATAGCTGAATATAGAAGAAAGCAACTGTAAGAAGCATAAATTGCACAAATTAGCAGAAAAAAGTAAAACAAAGCAGACAAAAGAATAGCAGAAAGAAGTAATTTTAGTTGAAATAGCAGAAAAAAACCTACAATTAGCAAAAAAGTAGCTAAAATTTGCACAAGAGAGTAAAACAGGCCATAACCAGAACAAATTGTGTAAGGTTTTGTAAAGATTTAGAAACTATTTGAAGGATTTTAAGGTTGTTGAAAGTAGCCCCATTCAAAGCCAATGGGAAAAAAATGGCTAAAAAGTTGAAATAGCTAAAAAAAGAAAATAGCTGAAATACCAAAAGTCATAGCCGGCATTGCACGAAAGAGCTGAATGTTTTGATATATGAATGGTTGAAGTCGCACAAAAATTGTGGAATGAGAAAGGTGCCGAAAAACGTACGGAAGAGAAAAAAATGATCTCAATGGTGTGAATGCCATATAGACATTCACACCATAATAACTGAGTTCTGTTGAAAGTCTCTGCTGAAGCTTTTCTTTAGTCAGTTATTGTGATTCGTTTCCCATCCAAGTCATCTCAAATTTAGCATGCTTTGACCCAGAGCTGCCATTGTAATTTATATCTGTAAAGCTCCTGGGCCAAATGACGGCTATGCATTTTGGTGCCTGTAAAACTTATAGTTTATGAAATATCAATGTTTAATAAATTTTGATGGCAGTCAATGGAGCCTTGTATTGGTCCAAAACTGCCCCATGCTGTACTCAACTTGGTACTGCACCATAGCTTAATATTTCTACTCAGTAGTTCAGTGTTTACAATACTAAAATGATTGTATTTTGATGTTTTACTATAATATTGTCCTAATATTGCTTTATTGTTGTTATATATTTCAAATTAGTGACAACGATTACATTGGCAATGTGGCCTCTTTCTGCACACATACAAACCAACCCCTGGCAGAGTTCTCTACCACAGCTCCAGTGGTCTAGTTGTTAGTGCCATGGGCTTTCATGTGGGAGATCAGGGTTTGAAACCCAGCAACAGCAACTTTAACAGAAAATCTCTACAAACTTCATATTGTCACACAATTATCCTCATTACAAACACCTGCTGACTTGACCAGCACAGGCTGGTGTAGAAACCACATTTGAACTTGGTCACAAGTTCATTCTGTAAGTCCATTGCGACAGGCAATGACATGATACATGGCAATGCACACTTGTTTTTACATCGTAAAAACCCATGTCTAGTTCTCATGTTTGTTTCTCCTCTCAGGAACATGGGGGGTGTCAGCATTCAGGACCCGTTTTCTGAAGGCAGCGACCCAGCCTTCCAGAACAAGAGGGTCCCGGGCCCCACAGCCGGCGCCCTCCAGCAGGGAGCAGGTCCATCAGACCTGAGGATGCAGTACGATGCCAACAAAGACCCGTATGGAGGCCCGCGGAAAGGTAGGAAGAGGACAAGAAAAACCACGTGTGAAGCGATGGGAGAAAATATGTATTTATATTTTATTAATCAAAACAGTTTATAACTTTGTATCAATAAACTTGTTCAGGTTCCTGTGATCCAGAACCAGGATCAGAATTTGAGGACTAATAAACTTTATTTATAGAGATGGGTGCAGTGCTGCCCCCTGGTGGCTGAAACTACAAACAGGCAGATTAATGTTTTTATTCTCATCACTCACCTGGTCCTCTTCAGGTCCAGTTCCTGGTGAGGCCTTCAGTCCTGGTCAGATGCCCAGCAGTGCCATGCAGGACATGTACCCCCGTGGGCCTCTCTCTGGACCCCTGTCAGGGATGGGCTCCAAACCTCAGTACTCCTACGGTCCCGGCTTCGAGCGGAGGTAAGACTCTTGTTTCAGAACCAAAACCTGAGACAGGTTTTAAAAGCCTGGATGTTCCAGAGCCAGTTGTCCTGGTTTGTCTTTAGTCCAACCCTGTCTGTGTTTGGGTTCTGCAGACTGGACCAGGGGGTGGGTCCTGAGGGAGGCCCGGTGCTGCCCGCAGGTGAGAACAGCATGGGTCCGTCTGGAAACGAGGCCGGAATGTTTCCCTCCAACAGATTCCCCCAGCAGAGGTGGGCGGAGCTGCAGGTCTTAAAGGTTCTGAGCTGGACTGGGTTCAGGTTTTCATGAGTCTGTCTTCTCTTCAGACATGGACCTGATGGCTACATGCAGCAGTTTCCTCCCAGCAGGGCCTACAGTCCCCATCAGACCCTGTTCCCCCAACAGCAGGTGAGCCCCCCAGAACCAAACATCTGGACCCCTGAAAACAGGAAGTCCTGTTCAGCCAATGACAGGAAGCTGGACGTGATCTGGTCTCTGACAGGTCCTGGTCTCTGACAGATCCTGGTCTCTGACAGATCCTGGTCTCTGACAGGTCCTGGTCTCTGACAGATCCTGGTCTCTGACAGGTCCTGGGGTCTGACAGATCCTGCTGTCTGACAGATCCTGGTCTCTGACAGATCCTGGTCTCTGACAGATCCTGGTGTCTGACAGGTCCTGGTGTCTGACAGATATTGGTCTCTGACAGATCCTGGTCTCTGACAGATCCTGGTCTCTGACAGGTTCTGGGGTCGGATTTATAAAACTGGCGTACGCACAATTTGAGCCCAGAAACTTGCGTATGCCACTTTTTACTCCAAGGTTGTGATTTATAAAATCCAAACT